GGAAATGTATTTTTCTCAATTTATCAAAGATATCTTATTTGGATTACGAAACAAAAATGAGCTATAAGATACATCCGTTTATTTGTATTTATTCAGCGGGACAGAAAAAAGACAATAATCATTGTAAAATATAGTTACAGTGATAACTTATGGTTCGGAAACGTGGCCTCTCACTATAGGCCTTATACAGAGGCTCAAAGTTGCACAGCGTGCCATGGAGAGGGCTATGCTTGGTGTTTCTTTGCGAGATCGAATCAGAAATGAGGAGATCCGTAAACGAACTAATGTCGCTAATGTCGCTGACATAGCCCGACGGATTAGCAAGCTGAAGTGGCAATGGGCAGGGCACATAGTACGCAGAACTGACGGCCGATGGGGCAGCAATAGGTTCTGGAATGGAGGCCGCGTACCGCAAAACGCAGCGTGGGACGTACACCTACAAGGTGAACCGACGACATCGTAAAGGTAGCAGGGAAGCGCTGGACGCAGGCCGCTACCAATCGATCAACGTGGAAAGCATTAGGGGAGGCCTATGTTCAGCAGTGGACGTCCTATGGCTGAAATGATGATGAATGATGATTGTAAAATATAAGTAGGTACCTATTCTTTCAGCACTCGTAGCATGGTTGCAGACTTCACGAACAAACAGTTTTTTTTCAGTCTATTTGTTGCCAGTTTAGTTCGGATATTGCAGGCTTTAACCAGATAGCGGTAGAAAGAATTATGATTTTGTTACTTGTCTGACACAATTGATCCGATTGAACCATGTGAGACGCTTCAGGCGACTCCTGAAGTCTGATACCAGAATGTAACCTCAATTGGTGCAACCTAAAAGGCTAATGTTTAATGGAAACTAGAAACATCCTATAGAAGCTACTTTTACGAGTACATGTATGTAGAACTTTTTTCTAGAGACGTGGGGAAGAGAATTAAGTTTAATCTTGTCATTTACACAACCCGGGCACTCCAAAACAAAAATACAGAAGCGGATCGAAAAAGGTTTAAACCGGACCTCTGAAAGCAACGTTCACAGCATTCCCTTTACCTGATTTTAGCGTTCTTTTTCGCTACCGACGCGCTGGTCGAAAATAGGAGCTAAATCACGAAAGGGAGGCAATTCTTGTTATTTATTTCGGAGTGGAGAGAAATGTTTTATCACATCAAAATTGAACATAAAAATCTGTGCATCAATTCCTACAAGCATTACAGTCCAATAAAGTTTTCTAAGCCTTCATATTTAGAAAAGTATCATCATCATCATCATTTCAGCCACAGGAAGTCCGCTGCTGAACATAGGCCTCCCCCAATGGGGCGTCCACCCACAAGGTGGACCGACGACATCATAAAGGTAGCAGGGAAGCGCTGGACGCAGGCCGCTACCAATCGATCAACATAGAAAAGTATATCCCACCAAAAACATGTTGCTAAGATTGCCGTAGGTTAACTCATCAACCCATGAAAAAGTTATCGATCTCATGTAGAGTCAACTTCTAACTCTACTCGGCTTACCTCACAAACCTTAAAATATGTGGCTTGGCCGTTTCGCTATCATCACATGGGTGTCAGATGATTTTCTTTAAACTAATGGCTACTCTCAAAAGTTATCAATCTAGTACTAACAAGGTTATCTAGTTTTTATCAATTGTTAGAGATAGACGCGACTGGATAGACTGGATGCGAGCGGCGCAGGACCGGTCTTTGTGGAAATCCTTGGGGGAGGTCTTTGTCCAGCAGTGGACGTCTTTCGGCTGAAACGAACGATCGAACGAGATAGACATAATGACGGATATTTGTTATTCCCAAGAATATGGGTTATTACTAGTAAGTTTAATATATTCAGCCATTATTGTGCGCAAAATAAAAACCACCTGAAGTACCACAGAATCGACCTCCAAGTCCGGTCTTCCCGACCGGTGATTTGTCAATGCGAGTCGGCCATGTTTTATTACATCAACCCTTGTATTTATAGCGGGAGAAATTAGCCCTCGGTACAAATTGTAAGCATTACGTAACTTTAGTGCCTTTCACCGTGAGTTTTTCAAGGTTATTAGGAAACTTTCTTAACGTCCAGTTGCTAAGTAATATTCGTTAAACACTGTACTTACTAGTTATATTCAAAGTTGGAAGCTGGTGTGTATCTTGTGATTTAATGCTCATCTTTCGTTAGTATAAAAAATATAAGATTTCCAGATGCGTTGATATAAATTACCAAAATAATAAGTTTCTTTGAACGGTTACGTATCTATTTCTTATGTGGTCAAGACAAGTGATTTACACCAAAACGAAGAAAAAAGAAAAAGAAACAAAAGAACCTACTTTTCTTCCTTTCTCCTCACGGGAAGACAACTTGGACAATGGACAGCTGTCAATCTAAAACATGGTAAATAATGCATTAAATATGATGCTAACCCTTCACGATTTTTTTTTGCACTGCTGTTAAAATAGTGCTACAACTGAAAAAAATATTTTTTCCGGAAAAACAAGAATATTACATTAAAGTATGTAGGATACTGGTATTGAAGTAATCTGTAAGCATACATTTATAAACAGTGTTGTTAATGGCAAAATTAGAAATGGTGAAAATTCAGAAAATACAATTAATGGATGAATTTTATTATTTTCAAACGAAAATACAAATGAACCCGTTTTTATTGGACTTTGTTACCATAATNGTCATAACATTTTTTCGTCCTGACCTCAAAGGGCGTTCGCTGAGAATTCTCAAACAGATGGGGTTTTGGCAAAACACGCTGATCACGTTGTGTACGATCTCGGATTATTTAGGGCACACTGGGGTTGTTGGGATTAAGTTGTTTTGCCTAATTAACGTTGATTTTAATAAATTACAACCTAGTTTTTATTGTACTTTTGAATACAATGTAACGGACGCACATCTAATTGGAAGTAAATAATAATATAGGTAAGTGTATTTCAAACATTCTAAAATTTGGTAGTTTAGTAAACTATAGGCTCCTCATTATCACTGGCTTTTGACTAACATTGACAAGTTAAAAAAATTCTCATAATCCGTTCCGTACTTTATCCATTGAATTGGCAGACATGTGACGTCATAACACAGAATTGCTATACAACATACTATACGGGACTATTGACAGGTCATAAAAAGTCCTATGTCAATAATAATTGACTGTGGTATCAAATACCCTATCTTGTTTTTGTAGAATGAGTTATAAAATCACGCATACTTATAAATGAGCACACGTTAGTACCAAATGTATAAATAACTTTAGTTAGATAATGTAACAGTAATAACGAAATTTCAAACGTGACCTATCATTATCTCGTCGAGGTCAAGCGATGCGCGAGCGCACATCTTTCCGCCTTTCTATTGGCGCACCGATAAGTACTAGTGTGTATTTTTAAATTTAAAGAATAAGCATCGGTGGTTCAGTGGTAGAATGCTCGCCTGCCACGCGGGCGGCCCGGGTTCGATTCCCGGCCGATGCAGGAAACTTTTTAGAGAAGTTTCTAAGGGTTTTGTTGATGGAAGTCCTGAGGAAATGAATTATTTCAGGAGAATGTATTTACAAAATGACTTATAAGTTTTGAAGGCGACATGTCAAGCGAATTTAAATTGCATAATCAATACATACATTGAGAGAATGGGTTTGTTTTTTTGTATTTTTTTGCATTTTTTATGCAGGTATAGTGTAACTAAATTCACTAGCTTTATAATTACCGTATTAATGAAGTGTTTTTTACTTTTGTAGTGTGTCGTGCGTGAGTTACTAATAAAATACTACGTCAATTACATAAATATAACTCACTTTACACGTGTGTAAATGTTTTACTATTTTACTTTGTTTACTTTTTCTGCGAAATATTGTAATACAGCTACATTTCTTTCTACAGAATTTCCCATAATACCTATTTACAATAAAAAATGACACTCAGGCAAGATTAAAACGTAAATATCTTATTACTACAAACATCCCAAAACAACATCCAGGAGCTTACCCATCCGAAAACCAACACCATCTCAAAATAATTATGACAAATGGCAAGACAAAAGAATTCGCGTCCCATGGTGTTGCCCCGTCAAAATAATCTAATTTCCTTAATGGCTACGCCGGGGAAGGACATAATTATCATAATTTTTAACGCAATGCCTACTCAGGGTAGACAGAATTAATTCTACTTAAACATTACGAGTATGCCATTTGCATATCTTTTCCGACATTGTTCTAGACTACCTTATAACCGCGGCTTTACGCGCATTGACTTTGGTCAATGGTGGATTTTGTTTATAATTTAATGACGAAAAAGTTAAAGGCACGTGGCAAAAATGGATGCATCGGCCGGGAATCGAACCCGGGCCGCCCGCGTGGCAGGCGAGCATTCTACCACTGAACCACCGATGCTTGTTACTATTGTAATAAAAATATGCAGATGTACGCCATGTGATTAGAAGAATTACTTTCTAAATAAGTAATTTAGTAGCAACAATTGCCCAATGGTGTTGGTGTGGGGTCAGATTGGAGGATTCGAACTCCGCCGCACCGTGGGCTATTGTGGTGAACCCATTCCCAACACAAGCTTTTTAGCTTATCCCGAGGGGTTAATGGGACTTTAAAGAAATGTGAAATTATTCACAAACAATTTATTTGTTTGGACGAATTTGGAAAGGACGTACGATAAAAAATAATAAAAGATAGTCGTAATCTGCATTATTTTAATAATATAAATGCGATAGTTGAACTGTCTGTCACCTCAGTTTCAAGCTTAAATCACTGAATCGTATTAAAATTTGATGATCTAGAGATTGATGAGACCAATATCCTATTAATCTGCATTTAACTATAATAGCCCATACTGCAAGAATGCAAAATTGCACAACCCGGAATCTCAAATTTCCAATACAGCTATTTATCGTGGAACGTGCTCGCACTCCACCGAGCCACACGTATGGTGGCAACACCATCAGTTTCGACACAGCCTTGCTTATATAGCAAGTTCAATGTCACCGGCACTCGGTCAGTAGTGCCATGGCTGCCTTCCAGGATTTTTTGTGTGTTATCTTCGTTTTGACGGTAGGTCATTTACAAAATAAGTACAACTAGACACACTAAGAAACGCCTTAAACTAAATTTTACTTAATGTTCAAACCACGATTTTTAAAAAGATTCTCGAATTTCGAAAATTTTGGGTTGTTTTCTTTTCCACAAAGGAGTCCGTTCCGTTTAGTTATTAATATAGATGACCCAGGCTGAACTGTCCCACGAAACTCAATGACAGGGGGGCGCTACCATCGTTCAACTATATGGTTTCCAACATGACAAAAATCTGAACCAGCGATCTGGTATTGACGGTGGCGCCCCACTGTCAATGTCATCGACAGGACAGTCCAGTATTTTGGAACTATACTTGTAAGTTAAACGTAAACATTGTCATGCATGCTATAAAAAAGTTAACATATCCGACTATGTGGCCAGTGTTAAAATGAAAATTGTTCGGAGTTCAAAATTTCAAAATCCTTCCGACAAAAATGCACTTCACTTTTTAATTAACATGGCTACCAACATTCCGGCAACGATATTTGAAGCATCCATAGAGCTGGAAATGCTAAAATATTTCCGGCCAGTGCGTTTGAAGTTAAAAAAACTAAATTAGACTTAAAACTGCTTTGCGCCTTTTTGGTAAGATTTCATACTCTTCATAACATGGTCTGGAAACCGCTGTGTAATTAAAAACTATTTTGCATTTACTTTGCTTGTTTATTTTGTAGTGTGCAATTTTTTTGCTGTTAAGCAAGGTTGTTTCTTGTAATGTCTAAATAAGTAGCTGTCTATGTAAAGATATTTACATTACAATGTTATTGCTAATAATATCAGTTCATAATTAATGGTCTCATAATGTCTTAAGCATCACGCAAGTAAGCTTACCAGACAATGATGATCTTCATTAAGTACCTTTTTGTAAGCTAGAGCTAATAAATACAAACAGAAATAAGTGTTGTACGGAGATTGAACTCGTGACCTTTGATACGTTATGCGAATCATCCGGCTGGGCAGTTTTTACACTAATCTTCATGACCTCATACATTGGTGCTTCACATTTAAGGACGGATCACACTTATAAACCCGGAAACGGATCGTAACCGTATCGACTTGAGGCGGTCAGTATTCTTTGTATGAAACTCCGTACTGCAACGCACACTTATGCGCACCGTAACATAACCGCCTTGAATTTGACAGCGCGGCGAAAAGCGGTACGTTGTTGATCCCTTTCCGGGTTGATAAGTGCGCTATGACCTTTACTCGTACTATAGAGCAAAACGTATAATGTTCATTTTCTTGTTAATTTAACACCTGCCTTTTACTCGTATTCCAGGCGTTCACAGCCAGCCGTACCAATGCCTACCCTTCAGACTTCGCCATCCCCATCCCTGAAGTCACCGTCTCCATCGGAGGGTCTGTGTCCTCAATCCCTGTGCAGCATGAGGAGCTGATCGTGCCGGTAGTCTTCAATCCAGTGCAGAACTACCAGGCTCCACAGGCTAATGTTTACCAGGATCTAAGCTATATGCCACCGCCCCTTCCTCAGGTCATCGTTCTGAATGATGGAGGGCAGAAGAACGATTATACTTGGCTTTTGCTTCTTTTGTTGCTGAGATAGTTTAGTTTTTTGGAAGAATGGTGAAGGAGGTGCAGTCAGCGTCAAATAGTTCGTGACACCCGAATTAGCCAAAAAGTTCCCAAGACATCTTTCGCCCGTATTCACAAATAAATAATAAATCTTTATTGAATAACTTATTTGACAGTTTAAACTCTAGGCTAGTCTTATGCTTCAAACATTACTATGAGGTCTCACAGTGCACGTGGACGCACAGTTTAACACACGAACCAATCACAGAGCTCTATTTAACGCCGTGCGTTCAATTTGCTACTTCACTTAAGCAAGCATCGTTTGTACGGGCGTTTGTCACAATTGAAATACGGTCGTGACAACTTTTTGGTCACTTAGGGTGTCACAAACTATTTGACGCAGACTGTACTACATGCATTATTAAAGTAGGAAAAGTAAAGTAAAAGTTAAAATACTATAATTGACATTTACTTGTTGTGAATGACTCAGTATGACCTTAATAAGTTTGCAAAACGATGCATTTTATCGTGTCTCCACCTGAATCTGACGATGCATTACGCAACCTCAATTGACTATTCATTGTTTTAAATGCCTTTAAGAATAAAGTATTGAGTATTGAATTCTAGCAAAAGATTTTCAGTTAGTTGAAAACTGACTTGAACTGACTTTCAGTATGTACTTAAAAATTATTTGTCATTGGTGTCAGAAGTAACTTACCGCAATTTGTCCCTAAAACTATGTATTAACTTTTATTAATTATCTTTACTTCATGTTTAAAAGAAAGTTTTTGTTATGTTAAATAATTCGGTGTCATAATTTGAATTTTTAATAAAAAAATAGTACAATAAATAATACTTGCAGTATTTTAAATTTCATTCCCTCATTAATACCCCTCTCTTCCTCACAAACCCAACAATCCTGCAACCAGGAGGTTCAACGTAGCAAGCTTAGAATCTCTAACTTCTGTGAAACATCTAAAAATCTATACTTATACAGTGTGAGTCACGTTAAAGTGTACATATGAAAATAGATGAAACTAGACCTATTTTTATCGACAAAAAAGAGGTCAAAAAATTTTTGAGATTTTTTTTAAATTTTTTATAGAATTTTTTTTCTTCCAATTACTTATTGTAAAGAAAACGTAATAACTTTTAAACTAAGCGGTATATCCTGATAAAGTAAAAACAGTAATAATGCTAAATAACAGGCAATACTAAAAAAATACATAAAATACACAAAAAATGCCAACAAATAATAAAAAATGATATTTTTGAAAAAAATCTGCTTTTAAATTCGTGTTTTTTTGGTTATTTGATAAATTTCTCCAAAAAATGCCCCTATAACAGGTGGTTTTTATTACTTTTTATTATTCTCTATCGTATTATCTTTGTAAAACCAAAAATCGCATGTCTCTATCCCTATCACAACATTTGCTATGAACGTTTGAACAAAGGCCTGCCACAACATTATTCTCCGCTACAGGTAGAGACAATTTTAATTTTAACTAAAACGCTTATTTTACTTCGAAATCTTTTGTTTTTATTTGAAATCTAACTTGTCTTTATCAAAATTACAAATCTAGAGCCATTTTCAGTTTCGTTGATAACGATGCTTTGAATGGCGCGCCCGGAGAGGCTTAGTTCAAACGATCATTGCAAACGTTGTGATAGGGATAGAGACATGCGATTTTTGGTTTTACGAAGGTAATACGATAGAGAATAATACAAAGTAATAAAAACCACCGGTTATAGGGGCATTTTTGGAGAAATTTATCAAATAACCAAAAAAACACGAATTTTAAAGCAGATTTTATTCAAAAAGTATCACTTTTTATTATTTGTTGGGCTTTTTTGTATATTTTATGTATTTTTTTAGTATCGCCTATTATTTAGCATTATTACTGATTTTATTTTATCAGGATATACCGCTTAGTTTAAAAGTTATTACGTTTTCTTTACAATAAGTAATTGGAAGAAAAAAAATTCTATAAAAAATTAAAAAAAAATCTCAAAAAATTTTTGACCTCTTTTTTGGCGATAAAAATAGGTCTAGTTTCGTCTATTTTCATATGTACACTTTAACGTGACTCACACTGTATTATAAATGCGAAAGTAACTCTGTCTGTCTTTATCTCGTATGTCCGCTTTCACGCCTAAACCACTGAACGCATTTTGATGAAATTTAGCATAGAGATAGGTTGAGTCCCGGAAAAGGACATAGGATAGTTTTTATCCCGGTTTTTGAAACAAGGACGAGCGCGATAAAGTTTTCTGTGACAGACAAAATTTTACGCGGGCGAAGCCGCGGGCGGTAATTAAAGTAGTAAAAGTAAAGTAAAAGTAAAAATACTTAGTTAATTGACATTTATTTGTAGTGAATGACTGAGTATGACCTTAATAAGTTTGCAAAACGATGCATTTTATGTGTCTCTATCTGAATCTGACGATGCATTACGCAACCTCAATTTACTTTCATTATTTAAATGCCATTAAGAATTCTAGCAAAAACATTTTTTTTAATTAATTGAAAACTGACTTGAACTGACTTTCGGTATGTAGTTACTTAGAAATTATTTGTAATTGGTGTCAGAAGTAACTTATGCAAATCGTTCCTAAAACTAATAGCTTTTATTAATTCATTATTACTTCATGTTTAAAAGAAAGTTTTTGTTATGTTAAATAATTCGGTGTCATAAATTGAATTTTTAATAAAAAATAGTACAATAATAATACTTGTAGTATTTTTAATTCAATTCCCTCATTAATACCCCTCTCTTTCTCACAAACCCAACAATCCTGCAACCAGGAGGTTCAACGTAGCAAATTTTAGAAGCTCTACCTTATGTGAAACATCTAAAAATCTATACTAATATTATAAATGCGAAAGTAACTCTGTCTGTCTCTATCTCGTATGTCCGCTTTCACGCCTGAACCACTGAACGGATTTTGATGAAATTTAAAAAGAGGAAAAGGACCTAGGATAGTTTTTATCCCGGTTTTTGAAACAAGGACGAGCGCGATAAAGTTTTTCTGTGACAGACAAAATTTTACGCGGGCGAAGCCGCGGGCGGAAAGCTAGTACCTCTATAATAAAGCCACCGGGCTGTTACTATACAGCTTGTATCTCAACCCTAAACACATATCCCTCAAGCGCTAACGGTGATGGATGAGCTTTATATCGACGTAAATAAAGATTGAACGAGGTTATATCTTAATTTACTGCGTCCATTGGCTAGCTCTGTCAGCATAGTGGTGTTTAGCCCGAAAGAGGTTTCGTTTCTATTCTCTTTTTACTAACGCTAGAGAATTATGTTTAAAAACACAAAGAGGTTCGTCTTTCGTTAGTTTTAGCCAAATGACGTTTACTGCTGGACAAGGGCCCCCAAGGATTGCCATAACGACCGGTCTTGTGCTGCCCGCTTCCAAAGAAATCCTGACAACAAGAGGTGTTTCAGATAGAGTCAGAATGAGCTATGTTATTTCTAATGTATTATTACTATCGCTGGAGAAAAATGGGCTAGAAATTATTACTTCGCAATTCTAATTCATATTTTTATCTACCGGTTCTATCAAGAACTTCTGATGGTCTGGACAGTGAGCCATACAGCATTGGATTCCGAATAGACACACTGCTCTCAATTGACCTCGATGTGATTTAAAGCTGAAAAACTGTCGAATTTACTAAGATAAATTAATAACTTAGCATTTCTATAGTCGGTAGCAATAGTAGAAAACTCATTCGTTACTATACCTACCAGTAGGTATACTCGTACATATGTAGAACGGCAACGCAACATGTTACAGGCCATGAACAAAACGAATGTATGTATATTGTGTAGAAAATTTATTCAGGGTAAAAAAAATATAGCAATACCTGTAGATTTGACGTTAACCGTAAAAGCATTCCATAGAGTTCTAGTCTAGTATACTTACTGCTGACTAGTGGGTCAGTCAGTCAGTCAGCCCACTAGGTAGACTCTGGTGAAGGTCGCGGGAGGAGCCTGGATGCGAGCGGCGCAGGACCGGTCTTTGTGGAAATCCTTGGGAGAGGCCTTTGTCCAGCAGTGGACGTTTTTCGGCTCAAACGAACGAACAAAAGAATACTGCTGACTGTTCGTTCAGGTGAGTTGAGGTAACGCTTGGTTAAAGCTCAATCTGCTGAAATAATCCACTGAAATACATTTCGAAATTTCAGTGGATTACGCTTTGAGCANTTGGCTAGTTCAGTCAGCATAGTGGTGTTTAGCCCGAAAGAGGTTTCGTTTCTATTCTCTTTTTACTAACGCTAGAGAATTATGTTTAAAAACACAAAGAGGTTCGTCTTTCGTTCGTTTTAGCCAAATGACGTTTCTTGCTGGACAAGGGCCCCCAAGGATTTTCACAACGATCAAAGAAATCCTGACAAAGAGGTGTTTCAGACAGAGTCATAATGAGATATGTTGTTTTTAATGTATTTTTACTAACTTCTGATGGTCTGGACAGTGAGCCATACAGCATTGGATTCCAAATATACACACTGCTCTCAATTGACCTCGATGTGATTTAAAGCTGATACTATGGACATTGTATACATTAATAACTTAGCATTTCTATATTCGGTAGCGATAGTAGAAAACTCATTCGTTACTATACCTATCAGTAGGTATATGTAGAAGGGCAACGCAACATGTTACAGGCCATGAACCAAACAAATGTGAATGTTTGCAACATTTTTTCAGAGTAAAAAAAAAAAACCGTAGATTTGACGTTCACCCTAAAAGCATTCCATAGAGTTCTCTACAACTGCTGACTAGTGGGTCAGTCAGTCAGTCAGCCCACTAGGTGGACTGACGATCTGGTGAAGGTCGTGGGAAGAGCCTGGATGCGAGCGGCGCAGGACCGGTCTTTGTGGAAATCGTTGGGGGAGGCCTTTGTCAAGCTGTGGACGTACCTATTTCGGCTGAAACGAACGAACGAATACTGCTGACTGTTCGTTCAGGTTAGTGAGTTGAGTCTAACGCTTCGTTAAAGCTCAATCTGAAATAATCCACTGAAATACATTTCGAATCAATTTCAGTGGATTACGCTTTGAGCGAATCGATATCTATTAGAGTTTCGTTCGCTTTGCTGTTTATTCAATTCCTAGTTCCTCATTTTA